GTTTACAGCCTCCCTACTGCTGGGATTACAGGTGCGCGTCACCATGCCTGGTCTCCATCACCACCTCAGTGCACCTTGGAGGTGGGACTGGCACAGCAGGCCTGGGGATTGAACTCCCGGCCCCTGAGTCTGCCTAAGGAGGCACTTTAATCCTCTGAGCTATTTAGCCAGCCCTTAAAACTAATATTTATATAGGGTGGTGGCGATGGCAAACGTTTTGGAGCTGTAAGTGTTAGCAAGACTCCACTGCAGCACGTGTGCCACAGGCTCACCACCACTGACAGAGAGCAGTGAACATACTGTTTGTATGTATATTTCCTTCTTTGCGTTTTGTATCTACCTGGGGAGGACAGGCATCTTTAGTACCATTCTATAGATGTGAAGATGCAAAAAAAATTTGAGATGGGAGAAGTCAAGTATGAGAATCTGAGTTCTACTGCTTACTTAGAAAGTCAACTTTTCTGGGTTTCATCATTAGCTTTTGTAAAATATCAAAACTCAGCCCCTTGTGCTTGCCAGGGAAGTGCTTATTCCACTGAGCCATCTCCCCAGCCCCCAGACTATCTTTTTAAAATACAGTAAGGATGCTGCGTTATCTGTTCATGAGTTAAAAAAAAAAAACAAAACAAACCTCAGACAAACAAGGAATGTTGTAAAACATGGATCCTAAATATTATATTATACTACCTGCCTCCCTCAAAGCGGTGGGGTCTCCATTAAGCTACCCTTAGAAAGGCCCATTATAGAATAAAAGAAGCTGACAACTGATGGTGAACCCAAGAGAAAATCCATGGCAAAGCAAAGACAAGAAATAAAAAGATGGGAAATAATAGGTAAAGTCTTTAGAAAATCCAAAAGATATTCTGAATCTTTTAAGAAAATATATTTTAAAAAATTAAATAGTGTTGAATGTAAATAGATAAAATTATATGAAAAGGACTTTAAGTGACTTCCAGACACATGCAGCACCTGCTCTCGAGGATGCTGGATGAATAAGGTCATTGTTCTACTAGAACACAAAGTACTGCCGCATGCTGGTGAGAACAGACCTGGTATCTGCTAAGCATGATACATCTAACGTCCTTGGGGTACAGTCCATTTTATGTATTTGGTACAGGGTCTCACTATGCAGCTAGGACTCATAGTGATCCTCCTGTTTTCAGCCTCCCCAGCACTGGGATCATAGGCCTGTGCCACCATGCCCACCCGGTCTCCTTGGCCAGCTCAGTGTGCCTGGCGGTGGGGCCTACATAGCATATAGTATTAGGGATCAAACCTGGATCCTTGTGCTTGCCTATGGAGGTGTTTAGTCTGCTGAGCTATCTTGCTGGCCCATACAGTCTATTTTTGATGAAGATAAAACAAAGAAATGAATGGTCCTATCATTTATTCTCTTAGCCACAAATAAACAATAAAAAGTTAATTTGGCTCTGAAGAAATATGGATGCAGAACTATTCATGAAAACTTGGAGTTTTATGGTGGCAACAGTCTTTCCTGGAATACTGACAACAGATACCAGCATTTACAAAGGACCAGGAGGCTACCTTCAAGTTCTGTTTCATTGCATTTAACTGCATCACTGATCTATGGGCATGGAACTGCATTTCCAAGCTCTTACATTTTTCATATTTACTTTTACATCATCCTCTCCTACAATTCTCCTCCAGGTAAAATCAACTTGCTGATTCCTGAGTCTGATCTCAGGTTTCTACATAGCCTTGTCTTTCTCTTTGAATCTTATACCCAAACCAAAACCTTGATAATAATCCTACCTCCCTCCTTAGCACAAGAAGTTTTCCTATAAGACTCAGAGTATTTTCATTAATGTTGCTACAATACCAAAATCCACTTTCTTTCAAGATTCTAGCTTAGGTAGGATGAGGATATATTAAAGGGGTACACCAAAGTCAAAGTCACACACAGAGAAATGTCCCAGCTCTACTATTTGTTCACTAAACATATTCCTGACACTAACTTCTTTACCCTTAGATTTCTGCTTGGAAGAAAGGAGAAAATCAGAACTGCTTTTACATCCTTTTTCTTAGCTAAAACACTGAACAAAGAATAAGCCCACCAGTCAATAAATGCATGTATTCTGCCCTATGTCTCTGACCCTAAAAAAGGGGGTGGGGCTCTATAAAATTCATTCAAATCCTCTAAGCTTCCAGGATCCTCCCTCCTCTCTGCACTGCACTCTAGATGGGGAAAGTCAAGATGCTTGGTCTTTTAAATTTACTGTCAATTGATTAATTACGATCACTAGTTTAAGCAGTAAGTGGAAGGTTTCACCAATATCATTACAATCAATTATTCTAGTAATATTCTTACATCCAAGATTATTTACAGACAATTACTGTGTTAACGACAGCCATCAGAAGAAATTCCTTATTCAACCATTCCCCTCCACCCAATACAAATTAGAACTAAGTGACATTTGAAGAAAATGACAATCCTGGAATGGGCACTTCAGTTTACTAAATGCCCCAGTGTAACAAAATTAGAAGTGTCAGAGGAAAATTTCATGGACTAACAGGTTAGAAAAAGAATCCCTCTATTAATTATTGCTCACTCTGGTTTTCAAAATATGCTTCTTTTAAAATAAAAAAGACAGAGAACTAAGTTGTACAACACTGTTTTGGTTACTTATGGACCACAGACACAATGGTAGTCCATAAGATCACTATTGCTCAGTAGTATACATTCATAGGATTAAGTACACTGTGATATTTGTAGAATTACCAAGTTGCCTAGTGACACACTGCTCTGAATGCACTCTGATTGTTAAGCAATTCTTAACATGCATGATTATAATTTTTCACTCAACTACTAATGGCAGGATAGACACTGGTGAATACATACACACATTCACGGTTATACATGCACTATGCTAAGAGAGTATGCCTCACATCTAATAAAGAATGCTGAAAATGAATAGTTTTACATTAAAAATTTACACTTCTAACATAGAGTTTAAAGTGATGGGAAGTGGTTGAGCAACAGAGACCATATTTATCCTAAGATTTTGCACAATCTTGCAAAACCTGTTACACTGAGGCCAATGAAGTGTTTGTTGATTCAATTAACTTTATAATTAAAGTCACAATGATAAAACAAAAAGCTCCAAAACAATGACTAGAAATCAACTGCACAATAATTTCAGGTAGCAGAATGGTCTATACTTTGCTGTAGAAGTGAGACAACTTTTCATAACAACAGCCCTACACAATGCAAGAGGTAATATATGATGTTATGGTCTCCCCTTTTAGATTATAGGTGGGCCCCCATAACAGATTTTGTTCTAATACCACAATGGCAAATATTGCAAAGCTAATTAAATAATTAGCAAGGGATTTCCTGTACAAAAATAATCCATCCTCATCCTAAAACTGGCCACCTATTGTGTTTGTAAATTAGTGTTTAAAAAAATGGCAAACAATATACTAGGGTTACAATGTATGCTATCTAAAAATAGCCATCTAGACACAAACTCAAGTGTTTAATTATAGGAAGCTTACACAGTCCCTTGTGAGGCTTCAGATAACTGTTTATTTTACTATAGAAGCATGACTATGAAAGGGTATAAGGTTATTTAATGAAAATGAAAGTTTTACCATTAATTACTGTTATGTTAGTGGAAATCTATTGAAACATTTAAAATCACAGAGGTTGCTACATTGATTTCAAATTTTCCAGATGGCCTACATAGTGTAAGGTCTATCTTTAACAGCAACTAACTCCTGGAGCCTTGAATGATCATTAGTTACAAAATAACTACACTAATCATTTACTCTGGAGTCAAGTTTCCCTGAACATTTCCTAAGAATTTTTACATTGCATGTTAGCTTTTTAGACACCTCAATAGCACCTCAGCAACTGAAAATATTATTTTTCCACATCCTGAGATGTCAAATAAAATATCTTGAAGTTACATATTTTATTCCCTGCTGGTTCATTTTTCATAAATGTTAATCAGATGTTGGGTGGCAGGGGTTTTCATGAATTAAGATCTTTTCCAAGATGCAACTGAAAAATGTTAAAATTATCCCTTCAGGTTTAACCATGATGATATTGCTTTGACTATATGTCCTTCTTACGAATAAATGCACTTATAGTATATTTAAATGTACAACGGTCTCACAGTAATTCCAGATTAATTTAGAAACAGAACCAGGATAACTTTTGAGGAAATTTAGTAACTGCCACCATTTTGGAACTGATTAATGTCACACCTCTGGATAGCCTTCCTGCATGCCAGTGTTTCTCACCAGCTAGAGCTTGGTGTTTAGATGCATGAGTGCATCAGCACATTCTCGTCTACCATCATTCATTTATTGGTTTTAAATATTCATGCTGTACCATCTTCAAAACACAAACAAGTCAAAGCATATTTCTGGATAATTATGTTTATTATAAAATCAGAAAAGTTAGAGTCAGAAAACATAAATCTTTGTCCAACTTCCTCATTTTGGTAACATCAAAAACAAAAGCTGAAGTGCAGACACTGAAACACGAGAGAGAAACTGAAAGAGAGAGAGAGAGAGAGAGAGAGAGAGAGAGAGAGAGAGAGAGAGAGAGAGAGTTGTCGAACATTTAGCATCACAGCTAGATCAAGACTTCCATGACCAAACTAGAGTAACCTAAGACAGTCATCTTTACCATGTGCATTTTCTGACAGCAAAAGCAAAGTTCTTACAAAAATTTAACGAAAAAACCTCCAGTCATAATAAATAAATTACCACTTATAGCAAATCATTTAATCTCTTAACACAAATGAAAATGAAGAAACACTTCTTGATAATAAGTTACACTTAACATCTTCACCAGCATTTTGAAGCCCTTAGGAAGAGAAAAAAGAAAATTCTTCTATTTTTGCTTAACAGCAGAGATTCAGGATTCGCCTTGTCATTGCTAGGCCTTTAACAGGTGCTCCATAATTGCCGAGCAGGAGCTCAAGACTGGCTGCTCATAGCGACGACCACACCCCGTGACTGTGACCTACCTCCTTGGCCATGTCTGTATACTTCTGTTTTTCCTTTGGATCCAGAACAGCCCACCAATCCGCTAGAATCTTGGTAGCACCTCGGTTATCAAGCTTGGGGTGTTCTTGACGGACAAGGGAGCGATGGCGTTTGCAAAATAAAAGAAATGCATTCATGGGTCTGCGGGCTCGCTGTTCTGGGGACTCTTCATCTTCTGCCTCTCCAACATCGTGCTCTAGGCCATCAGCCCCAAGGAGTTGAACCTATTACCAAACAAATCCAAACGTTTAACACACCTAGAACATTCTGATTTAACAATTAGTTTTGGTTTGCACATTGTAGGTTTTTTTCTTAGATACATTTATACATCTAATGAATTGAAAAAAAATTTTTTTAAATCATGAACCACTGTTGGTGGCTGGTAACTTATGATGCATTTGGCTTAGTTTCTATAGGAACCCGTGCATGCTTCTATTACAGCATTTCTATTACATTGTGTTGTAATGGCTTATGTTCTCTAAGTAATGAGATCTTAGAAGATAAAAATTCTGTGGCTTACCTTTATAACCACAAACCTAACTTGTTGTATGTTATAACATTAATAACTAATTGGTGAGCTATCAAATTTATTTTGTGATTTACAGGTCTCAAAACTATCCATATACAATATTAGCTTTTTCTCCTCTTTAGGAAATGCTTTTAATATAATATATGGATGCAAATAATATAAGGATGTCTAATATAAAAGTAGAATATAAAATGTTACTAAAGATTATTCAATGTTTTTGAAACATCACAAATGAAGTTGCCTTGTAAAATACCAAAATAAACATAAAACATGATTATTGGAAAGAATTACACCATACATTTTTAAGCCTGTACATATCAAGCTGTCTTGTCTAGTGAAATTGCTATCACAATGGGAATAAATTCCCTTAGGTTTAAACTTGCAAAATTAGTTTAGAATATCCTCTTTCCTTAAAAGCATTTTGTTGAAACAGTGTTCAAGATCTTCAAGAAATTCTTCAGAGCTCTGGATCTGTGTCATTCTCATTGCCACAGCTTTGGGATCACTCTGACCTATGGCTGAATCTTTCTGTTTTTTAATCTTCTATATACTGCTCACTGATTATAGCTGCCAGATTAAATTCCTTAAAGCACAATTCTGAACGCAGAATCTCAAAAAATATGATGTAAGATTACAAAGGCTAAAATCTGATTCCTTTTTTGTTTTTTGTTTTGGAAAGGATAAAACTGTGAGCAGAAATCAAGAATGCTTACGAAGACTATTTCTTTAATTTCTTGTTCTGTAGTTGAAATCAAGAAGGATTAAAGTTGTCATTAGTCTGCATCATGCAGCAGGGATGTAGTTCCTCAACTTGACCGCAAAGTCAAGTTGATCTTCAGTGGGAATCCCTGAAGATCCTCTTAAAACACACACTGCTAAGTTCTAGTCTTACAGTTTCTGACTCTGTAGCTCTGGAGTGGGTTTTCAGCATTTGTGTTTCTAACTAGTTCCCAGGGAGTGTCAACGTGAGGGTCACATCTTTTTTTTTTTTTTTTTTCCTGGAACCAGGGATTGAACTCAGGCCCTTGCGCTTGCCAGGAAAGCGCTTATTCCACTGAGCCATCCCCCTGGCCCCTGAGGGTCACATCTTTGAGAACCACAGTTCCAAGCAACCATGGTCCTTTACTGTGCTGTTTATTAGGCAACTGGTACAAGCAGCCACTCTCCAGGCATGTTGAACCAGAAGCATGCCAGCTGCTTGTGCTCTCTTAAGTTATGGCAAATAGGAAAAATTAAAAAAGAAATTAATTACAGTAACTACATCATATATTTTATATGTGGCCTAAAAGAATTCATTTTGAATCAGCAGGGACCAAGCAAGTCAAAAGGTTGGACATACCTGCTCTAGAATAGATCACTTGCTTAATTCAATTTGGTATTTCAAAAAGTTAAGTATTTAAGTAAATATTGCAAAGGCAATCAATTATCTTCAAACACAAACAGAAATATCTTAAAGTCAGAGCTGTTTGATGAGATTATTATTGGGAGATTTCTTTCTGTTTGTATACAATATTGCTAATGATTTTACATTTTCAGGGAATATTTGGCATTCTGAAACTAAGAAAATATTAGGAAGCAATTATATTTTCCCTTAAGAAAGAATAACTCTGTGAAGCCATCACATCCCTTGTTATACAATCTCTGAAGGGTTTCTATCCTGGACCCCAAGAAACAGAGAATTCTATTCAGAATCATATTAATTACAGCTTTCACCCCCAAGTTCCTTTGGGGCTGGCCTAAGGTTATTTTTAGTTAGGATGTATTTCTTTATAGACATACACATTAAACTGTATCCTAAAATTCTTTAAAAAAAAAAAAAAAGAGAAAGAAAGAATAACTCGACTCAGCTCTCAAATTATGAGTCAACTAAATGCTGGAAAGAAGAGATCACTGTTTTGGGCAAGTTTATAAACAAGATTTGGGAAAGCTTATACACATATAAACAAGTATGTTTAAAAGAATAGGAAGATTCCAACAAAGAACCAGTGAGAGAATGTACTACTGGATGGGTAGAAGTACAAGAAATTCTTCCTACAAAAGGCACAGTCAGAGCCAAAATGCCCATCAACTGATGAATGGATAAAGATGTAGGGTTTATTTATTTATTTATTTATTTAAATACAATGGAGTACTACTCTGGGTAAAGAATGAGAAGCTTGAGATTTCTAGGTAAAGGAATGCACCTTGTGCCATACACTTAGGTGAAATTACTCAAAAATACATGTGTAAACACCACGTTGCTTCTCTGGTGTGAGAAAATGGAAGTGTAAATAAGGACCAACATGCAGGATATTGTGAAATATGAAGAAAATGTTCAATAGGAAGGGGAACTAGGAAGGGGGAAGTGAGAAAGGAAAGAAGGGAAAAGACAAAAATGAGAAAGCAAAGAAAAACTTGAAACAAAGCTTTTGTGAATAAGGAGGAGAAGAGAGGTTGAATGCAGGTTAGGGGAATGGGAAAAAAAAAGAATCAAGCTATCTCATGTACAGGTACAAATTTCCTATAATGAATCTGATTATTATATATCCCTAAAATGTAACATTAAACTTAATTTGTTAAAAAAAAAAAAAAGTTGTAGGGGCCGGGGAGACGGCTCAGTGGAATAAGTGCTTCCCTGGCAAGCGCAAGGGCCTGAGTTCAATTCCCAGTTACACAGGGGAAAAAAAAAAAAAGTTGTATTCAGCTAGACTTCTCCTGGCTTCCTGTGCATGCTTCCTCTCTCTCCAGGGGCTGCCTTCCATGGGGTTACGGTCCAGCAAGAGGTGCTCAGCGGCAGTGGCCCTTTGCTCTTGGCCTTCCCAACTTTCTGACTGCAGCCAAATAAATGACCACTGCTTATAATTTACTCAGTCTGTGATATTCCGTTATGGTAGCAGAAAAGACACACGGATAAGAACAAGTAGAGCCTGTTCTCACAGGAGAGGAGAAAGAGTACAGAGATGAGTGCACACACGTGCAGAGAAAGCTGAGGCATAATTTCAGGCAGCTACCCTTGTCTCTGTGCAAACATTCTAGTAAGAGACTAAAGGTGTCCAGACATGATGACTAAGAAACAGGGATAATTCCTGCTGAGATGGAGTGAGTGAAATGACTAAAACCAAAGAGAAGAGCCTCAATAGATATTGAAGGACTAAAAAATATTGAAAACGTGCAAAATTTGTAAAGTGACACAAGATAGGAGCTAAGTTATTCTCCCACTCAGCATACACCCATTCAGCACTATACAGCAGGTACCATGTTTTGTTCTGAGGAGAGAGGAGAGGACAAGAGGCAAAGTCACTCTGGTCTGAAACACAGACAAGCACACAGCTAAACATGGCACATGGCATTAAGTGCCCTGAAGGAAATCCCTTGAGCTAGGATGGTCGGGCAGAAAACATACTTGGAGACGAGTGGGCTCTGGCTCTGACAGGTACTACTGCCTGTGCTAAAGCCCAAGAGGGGACAAGAAGTCAGGGGCAGCAGCACCTGGAGAGCTGTGTGATTTTAGGTCACCTAAGTGAATCACTGAGTGACTTTCTAAAGAAATGTTAACTGTTCATCCATGAGGCCAGAGCAAGAGACCTGGAGAACAGAGTGAGCACAGAGTCTTGGTGCACAAGGAGTGCCCACTGCCTCGCAGACCACAGCAGGGTAGATGAAGAGCACCCAGGTGCTGAGGGAGCTTTGGAAACACCCCATTGTACTGCCCCTCTCTAGGACTTACGAAACACCAGTGGACAGTGACACTGAAGGGCAACAAGTGAAAATGTAAAAACCAAGTAGGTGAACAGGATTGGAGTTATATGGAGTTTTAGAATCATCTTTCATACTGTGCATGTCTTAGAGGAGTATGAGTGCTCACACATACCAGGAACTTCTAGAGTGAGTTGAAGACTTACTTTATCAATATCCTCCTCTTCGTCTTCCTCTTCCTCCTCTTCTGAAAAGTCAAGAAGTTTCTTTGCTAGCAGTGGGTGCCACTGAAGACACTTTCTTTTTGGTCTTTTCCCAGGCCCTTCTCCTTCTGCTGAATGATCTTTATTTCTATTACTGCCTTTCATTACTGTGCCCTATAATAACAAAAAAGAAAGCAAATTTGGTTAAAATTAGTTTATTTTGTTCTCTTCACTTTAATTGGACTATGACTTTAATGACTGACAGTCTACCAGCTCAGACATTAAAATACTAGATTCAGCGAGAATCTAAACACACAGTCCAGCACTTCTTGCCTTCTACTCCATAATTTCAAAACTCAAAGCCCACTGAAGTTTAGGATGACTAGCAGTCACTCTCACCTGGCCATGGCTACTCAGCCTAGTGTTCATGGTTTCCCACACAGGAGCAGCGAGTGGACCATCCAGGGGCCGGGGGCTCCCAGAGGTGGGCCACCAGCTTTCTCTATCTCACTCAGTGCTTTGACAAATTCTGCATTCTAGGACATGAATTGGTCTTGCAATCTGATGATATAAAATAAGTAGTTCTTATTCTAATTCTAAGAATGAAATGGTTGGGATTTGAAATAAAACCACGTAACGCAGTTTTCAAACCATGTGCTATCTCTGAGGACTCACTGCATGAGCGCCCTGTAGGTCACTACAAGATGGGCCCACCTATGACAGAGTGAAGCAAAAACACCTTCATGCCTTTCCATTATACACAAACTATTAGCAAACTGGGAAAAATGTTGCTGCTTCTGGGCTTTTTTTTTTTTAATTCTTGATTATAAAATCAATACACATTTACATTATGTAGGTGATAATAAGACAAATTGAGGTCTGCCCTTCCCTGTATGCCTAATACTACATGTCAACACTTTCTCAATTTTCTGATGTTACTTCTCATTCATTTATTCATTTGAGGTAAAATAAATAAACAAATTACTATTTATATATGCTTATGCAAAATTTCAAAAAATAGAGTTAAATGACATTAATGGTTCATGAACAGATGCTCACAATTACAAACACATATAAGTGCTGATATCATTGGTGGTGATATGTTCAGTGTATGAATGTGCCAGCCCAGGCAAAGTAACACCATTAAATTGCTAGTGCCATATTAAACCCAAAACTGGGAGTCCATGAACATAGGGCATCAAGATTCATTCACCTCTTAAGCTTCTTAGCCATTGCCCTTAATTGTTTCTGTGCTAGGGGTAATGTCTCCCTCACCTCAAAACAAAAACAAAAAACAACAACAACAAAAAACTTGTGTTCTCTGCTGTACCTGCAAGATTTCACTTTAAATGTTTGACTAATCTGGAAGTTATTTTGATATGAAGAGCCAAGGCCTTAGATTATTCTTTTTTCCCCAAGAGCTGTCCAAACATATCAACAGCATTTCTTAAACAATCTAGCTTTCCCTTATTCCTTTTGAATGCCGCTTTTATGTTATAGTAAATAACCACACGTATGAGTCCATTTCTGATGTTCTTCTGCTAATAATCATCCCCTTTAACTGATTGCCTAACCTTTAACCAATCTTAGAGAACTATGTCATTAAATTGTTTTACTTGTATATATCACACTTCTACTTCAATCAATACACCATGATTTTCCAATTTTTATTGTGCTTTTTTTTTTTTTTTTTGCGGAACCAGGGATTGAACTGAGGCCCTTGTGCTTGCCAGGGAAGTGCTTATTCTTTTGAGCCATCTTTGTGCCCCCTCAATTTTCAGTGACTGTGAAATATAGAAAATATAAATATATTGCAGCTTAATCAGCTCACTATTGATGGATATTCAGATTATTTTTCTTTTTTTCATTTCATTTCATTTTAAAGAGAATAAAAAATAAAGTACACAGAATTTCAAAACAAGATAATAGAAAATCAACAATGGTTGCTATATTACATATTATTCTCTTCAAAGTCATTCAGATTACCACATATAAGCACATAAAATTGGTCAAAAAAAAAAAGAGGGTAGGCAGAGAGTTCATGAACAATAACCAAACTACATAGGAAGTACTTCAAAAAAATCAAACACTGAGATCTCATTTTATCAAAACATTTTTACACATTAAAAGAAATCACCAACAGAGTGAAAAGAAAGCCCACAAATTAGGAAAAAAATTTAGCTGACTGTCCTTCACACAAAGGACTTCTATCTAGAACATATAAAGAATTTTAAAAAGTAAATAAATCAGGCCCCAAAACTTCAAAGACCCAATCAAAAAATGGGCCTCTGAGATGAATACACACTTTTCAGATGAAGAAATACAAATGGCAAAGAAATATATTAAAAAATGTTCAGTATCACCCTTCTCCACTGCTGGTGGGAACGTAGACTGGTGCAACCGTTATGGAAATCAGTATGGAGACTCCTTAGAAAAGTTGGTCTGGAAATCCCCTTTAAACCCCTATTCCTCTACTGGGAATTTTCCCAGAGGATCTGAAAACATCATATCATAGGGATATATGTGTGCCTATGTTTATAGCAGCACAATTTGTGATAGCCAAATCTTGGAAACAACCAAGATGCCCATCACCTGAGGAATGGTTGAAAAAGATGTGGTATTTTTACACAATGGAGTATTATTCAGCTATTAAGAATGATAAACTCCAAGCCTTTATATTGAAGTGGATGCCACTTGAACATATACTCATAAGTGAAATAAACCAGACACACATGTGTAAATATCTATTTACACATACGATATCTTATACTAGTCTCCCTAGTATAAGAATTCAAAAGAAGAAATACAAATAGAAAGATATAATACAAGTAAAAGGAAAGCAGGATCTCAAGGACTAACTAATTAAGAGAGGAAAAGGAGAAGAGCTAGGAAACATCACAATGTCAAGCCATACAGTTATATGTAAAAGATGCGCAAGGCAATGATCGTGAGAATCTTCAGAAGATTTTTTAATCTAGCAGTTATGGAAAGATTCCCACCCTGACTAACGATATATACTGATACCTGTGAACTAAGCTACTGCACTGCAGATGGTAATTTGTAATAGTGGTTTCATGTTTGGAATGCCTGTCATTCTGGTATTCTGAATATGAGCTGCTTGTCATGACATGCCAGTTGTGCTATGATGTCTCTTGGGTAGGTGGATGTTCAAGAAGAAGGGGGTAGTGAATGAAAGCAAGAGAAAGGAAAAGGAATATTGTGGGACTGTCCTGCTTCAAGGTTGTATATG